CAGGCCCTTGGGCTTGCCAGGAAAGTGCTTATTCCACTGCCAGGGAAGCGCTTATTCCACTGAGCCATCTCCCTAGCCCCGAGCTGGTTCTCTTTTGAAATGTTCCTGGCTACATATTTAAAATGACCACACAGTCCTCCCTCGGTACTGGGTATAATAATTCCTGGAGCATTCCCGGTGTCCTCCTGCTCCAGCACCAGTGAGCCTCTGCGGGTTCTTTCTCCCATCTCTGCGTGGCTCATTCCTTCACTTTCTCATGGGCCTTGCATCCTATTTAGAATCCCCAACCCCATCCTGGCCTCTCCATGCCCCGGTGACTTATGTCTCCCAAGTACCTATTCTAGGAAGCTTCTCTTTGCAGGCCCTCCTTGAGTTTTATCTGAATTATGGACCAACCTCTACCACAGAGTCAGTATGACATCTTGGTTAGATGATGAAAGAAAGGTGTTCTTCTCTTTTCCTGGTCCCTCCATCCCCCAGCAGAGCAGAGCTCCTATCCAGGAAGGTGACCTTGGAGGACCACACTTGCTGGCAGCCCTAGGCCAGCCAGCTTCTCAGTGGAGGTCTGGGAGGACATCCAGGTGCCCCAGTGTGAGCAGAAATTACTGGGAAGCAAGAGCAGGGTAGGCCACCTCTCTGGGCTCTGCGTAGCTGGGATAAGGGACCCAGCATATCAGCCTCTTCTCACCATGCCCTAAGACAAGGGCCTCAGACTGGCAGCCCACGAGCTAAATCCAACAGTTGCTGCTGTGGCTCCACTGTGTCCCAGAAGAGCATAGGCTGGAAATTCAGTTCCCAGTGCTGCAGTAGAGAGCCGAGTAGACCAGAGGGATGGATTCATGTGGCATCACCAGAGGGGCCTGCTCCTTGCCAGAGTGTGTTGTCCCAGAAGCAAGTTCAGCCCCTTTCACTCCCGTGTTCCCTCCCTGTCCTACTCTTCTCAGTGTCTCCCAAGGGATGGTGGGGCAGGAAGGACCTCACCACATGCCGGTGCCACACCGCTGGACTTCCCAGCCTCCAGAACCATGAGCCAAATACATTTCCATGCATTTTAACTTAGCCCACCTTGGGTATTCTGTTACAGCAGTGGCCAGCAGACTGCTGCATGACAAGCTCCCTCAGCCTAATGAGCTTCTCTCAGGAGACCTGGCCTAACTGGCTTCATCCCCAGCTGTAATGAGGCAGATTTTTTATTTTATTTTTATTATTTTTTTTTTTTGACAGGGTTTCACTATGCAGTTTAGGCTGGCTTGAGCTCACAGTGATCTTCCCACCTCAGCCTCCTGAGCACAAGAATTATGCACCACCACGCCCAGCTAATGAGGTAGAATACTGAGAGTCAACCAATCTCCCTGAAGTGTATTTAGGTTCACTGCACTGCTTATGTAACTTCTCTATAGTCAAAATAATTCAGACTAAGAGTTAGGGGGAAAAAAATCAATAAAAATGTAAAATTAATGTTAACACAAAATAATGGACCACAGACTAAAAAACAACATCAAAAGAAGGAAAGGGAAAGGGAAATTCAGAATCGGGTCACCAGAATGTTAAACAGAATTTAACTGAACAGAAGAAATTATATCTCTATGCTGTAGATATGACGGGCGAATTCTTTTTTAGGTACAAAGCCGTGCGGTGTTTGCGCTCCCACAGGGTCTCCTTCCCCTCACCAGCCACGGCCCCTCAGCACCCAGCTCTGCCCCTTCCTGGGTGTGGGTGACTCAACCTCTCCTGGCTGCCCTGGAGACCCCGAGGCTCGAAGGCCTGGCAGGAAAAGATTTCTGAAGCTGGGTAGGGTGGTGCGTGCTTTAACGCCACACTCTGGGGCGCTGAGGTAGGAGGAATGCGACTATTTAGTGAGCCCCTGTCTCAAAATAAAAAATTGTAGAAAGGGCT